GACGATTCAGGGGCACGAAAACATCATATCCAGCACTGACAAATTCTCAATCCTAGTACTGAGCAAGAACATGATGATGGTAGTCTTCAAAGACCCCGATCAGGCTTCCAACCAGATAAACCAACACACCACGCTGAATTGCAAGAGTTCAATCTGCACCGTGTCTCGGTGGAAATTCGAAACGGCCCAGAAAGCCACAATTTCACCTGCAGCAGCACATAAATAGCGACTCATGAGGGACCAGTTTAGGGTCCAGTTCGATAATATCCCCATCAGAGGTCACCCTCTGATCAAAGACATATTGGAGGTCGAATACCCAAACAACGAAGTGTTGAAATGTGTTCTTCCAACGCCCTAATTTCTGGCACCACATTGTGAATCCATAACTGCAATTTTGGGAGTGAACGGCAAAACAAACCCAGAGTTCCTTGAAGAATGGGAACTCTGCACCGACGAAGAAACATCCGTTGTCACAGTATCGACCAAGGACGCCCCCATCTGTTTCAGATGCAGTGAGTACCGACCCATCTTGCCCCCGATCTCCGGAACACAAAAGAAAAGAAACTGAAACAGAGCATGATGGTGAATGGAAGAAGCCAAGGGGATTTGGTTTACCAATGACAAGGAGTACGACGGGTGGGTCTTCAACAACACCATCGAGGATCCAAAATGGACTTGGATGTACAACTCAAGCCCAACAACCAAGCAACCGAACGTATTCCCTCCCTCGGACAACAGATGGCATGTCGTGGGAGCAAAAAAGGTAACGGGAACACCCGGGAAAGTCCACACAGATCCAGTTATCGACCCACGAGCAATCAGGGAGGAAATGAAACATGAGGACCTGTTGTGGGACATGGAGACAATCAGGATCCAGACAACAGAAACCTGTCAGAACACTAACCTGGACAACAACACCCTGCTACATGAAGTGAAGCAGATCCTGGAGCATTGCCACCCCAAGGCAGAGATCGCTTCCGTTCTCAAGTTCAATGCCTACCCTCCCCCCAAAGAGAACCTAGAGGACAGAGCAGGGAAAAAGAAGAGGGATTGAGAAAGGAACAAGTACGAGTATCAGAGTTGAACAACCCCCCACAAACGACCCCTCCCCAAGGGCAGACCCGAACTCCCGAGCAGACTCCCTCACAAGAAGGGACATCTCGCCAAACAAAATGAACCCCTTACCATGGCTCGAGGAGTTCCTGCAGAGAGTGAAGTACGAAAGGGAAAAGGAGTTCGATGTTAGGCTTGCCTGTATGAAACACTTGGAGAAGACAAGGAAGCCAGTCACTGGTAAAATAGTGGCAGGAATCCCCCCCTCCAAGAACCTCTACGACCTGCTGCGTCAAAAATCCGAACTCTCAGTGTTCAACGCTTCCAGATACCACGAGAAGAAAAGAGGAAGAGAATTTGCAGGAGCGGACGCTGATACGGGGTTCGACCCCCAGACATCAGCAGATTCTATTTGAGATATGGTCTCCAAGAATTGAAAACCATTAAAAGGAAGGGACAGGAGGACAAGGGGACCCCCCAGAGACGAAGCAGGCCAGCAGAATGAACAGCGCCGACTCACGCAAGAGATCGCAACAGTGGCAACACAAACGAAATGTCTGTTCTACCAGAACCAGGATACAACACAAAACAAAGAGAAAAATTCATCATTGTCCAGATGATAGCGAAAAACAAGGCCTCCCATGTCCCCAAATCAGTAAATGCTGATAGGAAGACCCTCAGGGCAGTTCGACCGCTTATCCCAGTCCGGTTGAGGAGCAAATTCAACGACTGGCAGGTGGCCACCGACACATCTTTTGCAATCCCCACCCTCGACGACGACCGTGCCCTGGCAAAGAATATCAAGGATAACATTTCAACAGAAGTCCCACTGGGAGTATATGGGGTTCCTCCACGACAATTGACAGCTGAGGGGAAGAGTTCTGAAGCGCTGAGCCTTACCGCCTTCGACCCTATCTTGGTCAAGCTCGAGGAAAAAGAAAAATTCAGCGAAGGCCTAACTTGGAGGGCGTGGAACACAATCACGGTGCTCCTCTACAACGTGCTGAACGACAGATCCAACACGACTAAGATCATCGTTAACTCCCTGACAGACATCATCGAGACTCACCTCTTAACCTCAAAGAGCTCACAGCAGGAATTGGCACCCCCATGGATGTGGATATGGGGGTAGAAGAAGACGACATGGAGGAAGAAGAGGAGAAGAAGCTGGGTTTGAATGACAAGTTCTCCTCTGGAGGATGCACTGAAGCATCACATACTTCGACGGAGAGGAACGCAGGAGAATACAGCTTGGGCCCCGCATCAGCGAGGGATGACAGCAGGGATTCGGATACCGAGAGCCGCAAGACCGATGCTGTAGTGGACTGAAGACCTCACCCCTAACAAGTAATTAAACTTTGTTCACTCACACAGAAACAAAAACCACAGAACACAAGCAACCAAACAAGAAGGGGGAAAAAAAAAAAAAAAAAAAAAAAAACCGGGGAGCAAAGAGATAAACAAGTCATCAGCCAATGTCGGGCCTCACGGAGACCAGAAATGGGCAAGGCAGCCCACCAAAGACTAATTGGTATGCCAAGGGTCTCCAAATACTAAGCTGGAAAGTCAACGGTCTAGGCAACATCTTAGCTGAGGAAGACAAAATTAGAGATATCCGGCTCGGGCTCACAGGAAAAGATCATCCCCGACCTGATATGATACTACTGCAAGAGACACATCTGTCCAACCTGAATAGCCATACCAGGATACAGCGTGTGGAGAAGACAACAGGGGGATGTGCCTTCGCATTCTGGTCCAATAAAGATGGCCAAAGCGAGAGAGGAACTGCAATTCTCATACCAAGGACGTCCAAGATTCTGATCGAAGGTCAGAGATCTTGAACAGCAAGGGAGAGAGTGAGGAGGGGAGATGGTCATGGGTAGACATAAGATGACAAGACGAAGAGCAGAGAATCCTCAACCTATACGCACCCAACGCAGAGCCCAAATGCAAAATCCTCAATCATTTCTTTGTTCACGACCTCAGACCTCTTCCGTGGTGAAGATTTTTGGCGATATCTTTTGCTTTGTCAGCTGCTGTCCGACAGAGGGTAGATGTCCGGCTTCTGAGAAGGTTCCCTTTCCAACACCTAGACCAATTCTAGACTCTCTGGATTATAATCTAGCTTTCCCGGGGCGCCCGGACAGGTAGGGACCCCGCTCGGGGTATCCCAGGCATGCAAAAAATCCACAGATTTTTTTTGATTTGTTTTTTTGACTGTCGGCCTTCAGTGCGCTTTCCGAGTACGACCCAAATCCGCCCCCATTTTGTTTTTTCATGTATATCGGTTTCTGTGTGCTGGGGGGCGGTTGGGGGGGG